TCCTGAACCTCATCAAAGTTGCCTAGCGGAGGTTAACCCTATAGGATTTTATTTTTTTTTAATTATTTATTTTGTTATTTTGAACTTTTGTAAATGGACATTTTTTTTCAACGTTTACAATTCTAAAATATTAGATATCAAAATAATTTAGCCAAACATAATTTAATATATATATATATATATATTATTCACCTGCTTAGTGAGGTAATTAGAGAAATAAGTCTAACCAAATGGTCTGTTAATATATTAGATTCTGCATTAAAAATTTGTTGCGTGCACTCGTAAGGATGGTCGCATGATGGGTAACAAGTATTAACTCTTAATTTACTTCAATTCATTTTAAATAGAGTGAGTAAAAATGTGTACATAAAAAAAAAAAATCATAAATACGAAATAAATTTAATGATTTAACTCCTCTCCACCTACTCGCTATGATGTATATAATTAATCATTTTTAATTTTATTTCAATTTATTCAAATTAATTAAATTGTAGTTAATAAAAAATTCAATATTATATATTTATAATATTTGGCAACTATATGCTTTTATTCACGCTCGTTGCTGCAGTAGTAGTTTAGTCTTTCGAATCGAATCTACTCAAACTAATTTTGCATTTAAATTTTAATATTTTTTCTTCAAAAAAAATTGGATTTTGCATAATTTGATTTAAATCTGCTTCAGAATTTAGACGTTGGAACGTCACTTCAAATATTGGAGCAACCACAACCGTAAAGAAAAATAATAATATACATGGTAATATTGGCGGACAATTTATATTTACTTAAAAATAATTTATTCTCTCTCACACACATCATTTTAAACAATTAGGTTGAATTTGATTTTATTTAATCTTTAAATAAAATCAAATCAAAAGAGTAAAATATAATTAATTTATTAAATCAAAAGAGCGACTGAAATAATTATTGTCGTTTCGTAGAATTGTACGTGAGAAAAAATACATTTTAAATTTTTATACAATTAATCAATCAATCAATCAAATGAATCGCGTCATCTCAAACTTTTTAACCACCACCTTAATTGGTCCACTTTCTAATTGTTAATAATTTTTTTAATTACACTAATTGGAAATTTGAACAATATTTTCTTGATTTTCTCATTAAAAAATAAATAATTTTTAAAAATCATTTTTAATTATGTTTTTCAAAATTATAAAAAGCCAAATTAACCCGAAAGGCAACTTAAAATCCAAGACCGGGATGCCGTGTTGCGGTGAGTAAACCGAACAACCTTGAAAAAAAAAGCTACGTGCATTCTGGTAAATCTCAGAGACATTTACGTAATATCATAGCAAACAATATCGCATACGTCACCTTCACACAACCCCAAAAAAATAAAATATCTCCTCCTGCGTTATTGATAACCTCACCTGCCCCATCGTGAAACCCACGACACAAAGCGAGCGACTGTCACAAAAGCGACCTCAATTAACACCCGCATGTGACCACCGCACCTGCGTCGCCGTCCGCGTGTCGATCTCTCATTGGTAATCCACGTGTCATTCATCGGTGACAAAAGGCGGTGTTGCCTCATGCGAAAGACAGTCGGTCATGTTACCGGTTTCCGTCGGCTGTTATTTATTATTTAAATATATTTATTGTGACGCTGGCGGCAAAGCCAAGTGGAAGATACGGAGATGACGTGGCACCGTGCATGTAGTTGGAGCCGCAGAGACTGACTAGTAGTAAAGATGACTTTCGGCTTCTCGAAACTCCCACAGCCGACGTTTTTGATCGGCGCCGCTTGTGGCTCGGCTTTTGAGATTCGGCTCGGAAAATAATTGTTCTTTTAAAAAAGATGGGGTTTAGGTCTGTTGAACACGTGGTTTGGGATGCTTTGTGGGTCCCGCTGACAAGATAGGATTGGATAGTCTTACGTGTAAACTGCGTGTTTTTGTTATTTATTTATTTATTAAAAAAAGAGTGGTAGGAAATTGTTGAGGCATTTTAAAAGAAAGTTTTTGAGGCATTTCTGGATCAATGGAGTAGAATAATGTGTAGTAATGACGTAATCAGTGAGCCCGGCAATAGAAAATCTTAGTGGGACCCATTTGGAGAAGGGACAAGGTGACACGTAATCCTATAATACGAAATAGAAAACCATGTTTGTAGTTGTAGTTGTAGTTGGGAATGCCTCCAATTATTTAACTTTTGAATTAAAATATTGAGAAATATCTTATTGTTTAAAATTAATTATAAAAACTTTTTTTTTTTCATGAATTTGGAGTTTCTTATTTCTAACAATTTTAAAAATTAATTATATAATATATAGATCACGTTTAATTAAAAATTAAATTATATTTTTATATTTAAAATTTTAAATAATTAATTATTATTATTCGTTATAAAAAATGCGATGCAAATGGGTAAATTAAATACAAAATTTGTACGTTAATTTCAAAGTATCTCCATTTAATAAATTGAGTGGTCTTGCTTTAACAACCTACACATAGTCGGAAAAAAGTAGTGTCTAATTATTAACTTAAATAAAATATAATACACAGAAAAATGAAGGAATAAATATAACCTAAAAATTTTAAGTTATGAAGAATAAATAATTAAAATACATTAAAACAATTGATAATAGATAATATATAATTATAATTATAATTATGATATGAGTTTAATTATATAATTAACATAATCTTTAATTAAATACTTTAATTTTACTATAATTTTTAATTTTATATTATAATTGTAACATACATTTTTATTTTTATTATTTATATTATATTTCATTAAGTATCAATATGATTAATGCAAGTACATGTGTAACTTTCATCATGTTTATTTATTATTAAACATGTAAAAATTCATATTTATTTTAATTATTCGCAATTAAACGGCTAACACAGTTTTTAATTGAATATTACATTATTAAAACAATGACGTGCATGTGTGTTTTTCATCATATTTAGTTATTATTAAACGTTACGTAAACCGCATCATGTTTAATAGTAGTAATTAACATAAAATTGTAACATGTTTGTATAATTATGTTTTTAACTTTTTATAGTATATTTTTTATTTAATGTCAAATAAATGTTATCTGAATAATTAGATAAATGTCCAGTAATACTATTAACAGGTCTAACCCACTATAATTAAGGAATACGAACTTAGTGTTTCCATATTATATATATTTATGCCTATATATTTGAATGTTTTCTATCAAATGCATAACCATTTATATTGTTTAATCTTTTGTAAATGGTATATAAAATCTAAATAAATTTATAAATTTAATTTACAATAAATATCATTTAATACGAAAATAATATAAGTTTGATAAAATATGTTGCATAAGATTTGATTTTACATTTATTAAAGAATTTGTAATAATTTTGCCTTTCTTTGGGTTAAAATTTACTATTTATTTATATTTTAAAATTTAATCACGTAAAATATAAAAATTTATAATAATTTATATTCGTAATTGTATCAACTTGATTTAAAATTTTAAATTTATAATATAAAATTATATATATATGTAGATAAATCACATTAATAAATAGCTAGAATTTAACCCTAAAACTACTTTGAATTATAATGATAATCTTATTTAAAATTTATGTTTGTTTGTATCTGAAAGTCAATTATAATTTATAAAATTAAAAATGGAATAAAACTTACCTAATCCTAAAGTTGTGTAATTCAAAGAAAATTTATTTTAACTAAATTTTTTATACTCAATAATACACAGATTATCTAATTTGGCTAATGTAATGGCTGTTAATTTCAATTGATCCGATTTAAATTTTAAATTTTTTTTTTCCTCACTTAATTGAACTTCACTCTGTTATTTAACTCGATTAATCATTTATTAACCTATTTAATTATGTTTAATTTATTCAAATAAATTTAATTATCGTACTCTCTCATTTAATCCTATTTGAAAGTAGATTGATTATATTATGAAGATACTTAAAATTTTGATTTGATAAAATTCTATTTTAATAATTATGGATAAAAAAATAAAAAATAACTATTTTGGGATATATATAAATTTATAGTTTGTAATTAAACTATAATTTATGACAAACTTATTGTTAACGATAACAGAAAATGGGTTTGTCGCGGTCAAATGATTCTAACTGGCAAAGAGTAATCCGTGGTATGCAGCCAACTCCCCGCCTCCCCCCAAACTTCCAACAATAAGAAAATTTAATTAATAATTAATTAAACATGTTATTTATTTATTAATTAAAATTTAAAAAGTTAAAAAAAAATTAGAATATTTGACCCAGGAACAGCCTCTCACGGGAAACCACTTTACTAGATTTAGTTGGCTTTGAATTTGTTTGTTTTTTTTTTAAAAAATAAATGTTTATTTATTTTAGTAGAAAATGTCAACAAATTAAAAATTCTAGAATATTTTAAATCATTTATTTTTTCTTATAATTTTGTAATATATATATATATATATGTATCCATAGAACACAACTAAAAAATATTAATGAAAAAGCAGAAAATTAAGAAAGAAAAAGGCCACCACATGTTTACATTTGCAGTCCGCTTGTTTCGGTGGGGCCCAGTCGGACTTGAAAGTCATTAGTTAAATTTAGTTTATTTGCCAGAAAAGCTAACCTCAAATTTTAATTAATAAAAATAACAAAGCGGCATGAGGGTACATGAATAGACGTTGGACCCAGTTTATTCAAGCCTCCGCTCTCCACGCGCCTGTCCCTATCCAAAATCTTTATTTAATTATTTTATTAATTAAATATTTGAAATGGCGATCAACAATTTTCTTTTCCCAACTATGTATATATATACACCCATCTTCTTTTCATTTTCTCTCTCACCAAACACAGTTGCTTTTTCTTTCTCCCGCCCACGCACCCATATTATTATTTTCTTTCTTAATTTTCTCGTCACCCAAACACCTTCAACATATTTCCCTTTCTCTCTCTACGAAACTTTAACACTAATATTACTTTTTGCCCACTATATATATCGTCTTCGTCTCTCTCTCCCACTCGCCAAAACTCATCACTCACCTCCTTTCTTTTCTATTTATCTCTTTCTCTCTCTTCATATCTACTGTGAGATATTTGGTGGGTTACTTGAGGACATAATCTTTGCTTTTAGGGTTTCTTGTCTCCTTTGAAGCCGAAGGTTTTTTTTTTTTTTTTTGAAGATTGAACCCCAATGACATCTACAATGGAGGATTGCAAGGAAAACGCTGGTGGCAATAACAGCAATAAACGACCCCGGGATGACTTTGAGACTTATGAGGTCGACTCGCCGGAGTCTAAACATTCCCGGGTCGAACAGGTGAGTTCGGAGCCTGAGTCAGATGTTGCTTCCCCGGAGGCGAAACGGATCCAGGAGGATCTGCTCAATATTCTCGACGACCCGGACTTGGGTTTTGACCGTGACCCGGAAATCCCTGACCTTGACTCCGTTATCAAAAGCTTCGAAGAGGAGATTCTCGTCCCGCCTCCGGTGCCGGACATGACGTCTGATTCCGGCGAGTCAAGGTCGGATCTTGGATACCTTCTGGAAGCTTCCGACGACGAGCTGGGTCTGCCGCCGACTTTCTCGTCCGGGGACGAGCAGAAAGAGGACGCCGTTAATCTTGAGCCTGGCGTCGCCGCTGGATTTGACGGGATGTTAGGGTTCGAGGACAATATACCGAGTTACGATTCTTTTGAGTTGGGAATCGGCGGTAACACAGAAGGCAACAGCAACGGCAGGTTTAATTCAGATAACGGAGCCGATTTTGTGACGTTAGGCGGGCTGTTTGATTATTCGGATGATGCATATGACCCGGCCGACCTTATTGAACTGACGTGGCAACCCGAGTCTCTACCCGCTTTGTAAAAATGGGAAACGTTTCGGTTTGCCGAAACGTTTCGGTACACAGACCTAGTATTTGTGAAGATAGGTTGTAAAGTTGGACAAAAAATGAGAAGAGGAAAATGCGGAGTAGGTGTTCATAGAAATAGACCAAAAAAATCTTTGCGGGCATACTGATTGAATTTGTTTTTTGAACAAAATATAATACCCTTCAATTTTTAATGGATCATAGTAAAAATTATAATATATTCTTGGAAATATAAATAGAATATTTTAATTTTAAAATCTGTAATTAATCGATAAATAATTCCCTATCTGGGTAAATTATTGGAGAAAATACGTACCAAAAATTTCAACGTTGAATCGAAGTGACTTGACTCTTCGTGGTTGCCCTGTTCTTATCGGCATTTGAAAATTTAAGGATAATTTACTTTTTTTAATTTTTAATTTTTAATAACAAAATACTTTGACAATTATTTAATTTTTTAAATTTTATTTTGATTAACAAATGACTTTAAAAATATAATGTTAAATTTGTTACATTTTTGCTAATAAATTAAATTATGACTTGTATTTTTTAAAATGGCATTTTCGAATATACAGATATTTTGGTGGAAATCAACTTATAAAATTTTTTTAATTTGTTATAAAATCAAAATTAAATTAGAACTTGGCCAAACTTTTCTTTTTAAAAAAAAAAATAAAAATAAAACTTGACCAAACTTGATAAATTTGCTCCCCATTAATTTAAGAGCGAAGCAAATATTTGATTCCGCTGGCTAAATTAAATAATTTAAAACATACCAGAAATAGCGGCTAGTACTATTGAGATATACTTTTTAAATTTATAAATTTAGTCCTTAATTTTAACTAAATTTAAGTTTTTGACTCAGAACAATTTAATATTTGAAAATCATACAATAAAACATCATCATTGGGCTTGAGCCCATTCCCAAAATTTAAGTTGAATGAAGCAAATGGGCTTTCATCCAACCCGAAGCCAATTTATTCGGATCCGGGTCTTGAAATCACTCGAATCGGATCCAAACCAGCCAGTAATCTTTTCCTTATCCCCCCCCCAACGATCTTCCTGTCCACAGTCGCTCAGTTCGCGTCCACTCAAATGGCTCTTACAATAGCCAACGGTGGAGGAGGAGGCAGAATCCTCCGCAGCTGTCCTACCGAACGCTCCTACGCTCAACTCCCGATCCGTCGCCACGTGCTCTTCCCATTCTCGTCCAGAACCCTCCACGTGGCTTCCGCTGCCAAGAAGCTTTCCTCCCGAACCGGACGCTTCGACAGCAGGAATCGGAGGAGCTCAATCACGACTAAAGAAGAGGAAGATGAGCAACAGCAGCCGACGGTCCAGATTGAAGATGCTGTTGAAAATGTCGGTGTAGGTGCTGACGGAAATGTCGTGGTTGATTCTAGTGGTGTTCCCATGCCGGAACTTCCGGGTCAGGAACCCGACTTCTGGGAGGGTCAACAGTGGGACGCCTTCGGCTTCGTTGTTCAGTATTTATGGGCCTTTGGCATAGTTTTCGCGGTAATTATTCTTTGAAACATTCATCTTGTTCGATTGCAAGTAAAATTTAGTGCTATTTTTTATTTTTTATAGAAAATTTCCATCATTTTTTTGCTTAATTATACTTGCTATGGATACTTTCCGATTGGCGGTGCATGTACTGGTTGAGTTTTTTTAAGGAAAAGAGATAAAAACTAAATCCTCTTGCTTCCTGTTTGTAGTTGATAATTTAGAGCTATCAGCCTTTTGGATTTAGAAATTATAGTTTTTAAGAGATATTAGTTTTTTCATTGTTATTTTCTCTACAATTAGGTTTTCTAGCTCTCATACAGTTTCAATTGAGTTATAATAGGTTTAGTAAATTATTTAAGAAACACATTGAATTCAGATAAAAATTTTGAATTTAGTCTCACACTTACAAAGGAATGAGACAATTTTTTTATATGAACTGAATCAATTTCTTAAAATTTGGGCATGACCAAAACAACTTTGGAATCTAACTCAAATTATAGAACTAAAATGGAAATGGCTCAAACAAGTAAATGCGCTAGTAGCATTGACCAACTCCTTATCAATTTTGATTTATTTCAATCTGATCAATACGATAATTCAACAAATTCGATTGACTATAATATAACAAGTTAGGATAAAAAGGATATATTGGTAATAGGGCGGAAAAAAAAAAAATTCTTTTTCAACACGGATGGTATTCAAATAGAATTGAAAAAAAATGGATTTAATAAGATAGAAAAAGTTTAATTCGTTTTTGAAATAGCATGTATTGAATGAGAAATTCTAATCAATAATGTAGATGAACTAGAGATCTTCCCTGTCATTAAAAAAAAAAAAAAAAATGTATGTTGGATTTCTTGTTTCTCTGAATTTGGCTTATTTGTTTCTGAATTTGCTATAATAGTTAAAGAAAATGATTTTCCAAGTAGATTTAAATAACATTATATGATAGTGCATTTGATTGAATTCCTGTTTAATATTTTGTTGATTTACACTTCTAGTGTTTTTTAGTTAATTTATACTTCTGGTTTTTATATTAGTCTTAATAAGTAGAATGTGTTTTGAGTTGAATTTAAGGTAAAGTGTGGTAAGTTAAACATAACAATATGTTCCAGTTATGCATAACATGGCTAATGTGAAATTTGAAATAGGGGTTGGTTAAAATTGAATGAGAATGGAATTAAACACAGCCTTAATGTGTAGACCTTTTATGATATGTGGAAAATTCTGGTGAAAGCAGTAGCTCTGTTTGCTTGCGTCAGAATGAGCCGTGGGAAAAGTGTTATAGGTTATACAAGGGGAAGAAACTCTCTTATGATAAAATAATCTTTGTCACGTCTTTCTGGAAGAAAGGAGCAAGGGAGGAAATTAAAAAAAAAAAAAAACTGCTATAAAGTGGGAATCTGGAAAGCTAAACTCTCTCATTTTCTACGCGGCTTTTAGGCTTCTGAAGGCTCTGCTCAAGAATATATATATATATATATATATAATGACCTCTGATGTTGATGACTTTTGTGTGAGTATATATAGCTCAGGAATTCTTGGCTTTATTGTGTGTATATATATCTTGAGAATTTTTACCTTCTTGTGTATAATGTAATAATGGACTTGTTTTTCTGCTTCTTAACCAATTTGGCAAAACTAAAAATGTTAATGTTACATTTAATGACTCATGAATCTTTTTTCTTTTTTGCCTTATTTACCAGTTAATTGCATGTGGGATTGCGGTGGCGACCTACAATGAAGGGGCAACAGATTTTAAAGAAACTCCTGCATACAAAGAATCAATTCAATCACGAGAACTTTTGGACGAACCCGAGGCATCTAACTCGGATGTCTTTGAATCCAACCCGACAGAAGTGGCACCTAGTTTAGAATAGTCACCTCTATAATGAGATGCAAACAGTGCTCTGCAGTTTGCATCTGCACATGAATATAGTTTTATTCAAAAAGGAGACAATTTGAAGAAAAGGTGTTTCTCTTCAGCTTATAAGGTAATTGCTTGTAATTCTCTTATGAATGTACTTGCTATTTAATCAGATGTTAATTTACAGAAAGATTTGCTAGTGTGTTATATAATCTGAAGTTATAATGTTGAATTGATTTTACAAAAAATTGAAGATAGTCGGAAATGGTACAATATATTATTTACAAATAATTATCTTCGGGTCTAGTCTTACTAAATTAATTTTTAGCAGATACAACGCAGTAGTTAGATTTCAAACACTTACATATATAAAAATAGATAGATTTGAATTGATGTTTCCGCTTAAATTTATAAAAAATAGTCCAGTCTATTATTTGTAAACTAGTCCAGCCTAACTTTTGATGTTTCTGTTACGTATGATTTTGTTAGCCGTTTAGTTTATTGATCTTTCTGGACTTCAGCTTCAGGCTGTTTGGAAGTAGAAAAACTGAAGATCATCTCATGTGGGTCTTTCTAAGGTACTTTCATGTATGAGAAACAGAGTAAGCACTAGAATGTTTTATTCAAAAATTCCAAACATGCCATAACAAATCTATAAATTAGTCGCTCTAAATGCTAGATCCTACGAACTCCTATCCATAAATCTGAAATGCTTTAACTGGATGCTCAAATTAACAGTAATGCAGACAGAAAAGTTGCAAGAGATATGACTGCTGAGCGATCATCTGTCTTTAACTTCATGCCAGTGCTCCGCCCATAACCAAATCCCATGATGCTCGGTCTGGGTGCCACTTGAACCATGGGTGCGGCTGAAGTTATAAAAAAATACAACATTTAGGACAAACCAAAGTTGAAATGTAAAGAAATAGTAGCCATGGAGATGTTAAAAGGAAAATCCTGAGCTTACAAGCAACAGAGGAATTGGTATTTGAACCAAGAGAAACTTGTGGACCGGATGAAGTAGGGGAAGTTGATGAGTTAGAAGGCGCAGGTACCCCTTCATAAGGACATTTTAAGTCATAGGTTAACCCTTTTACAGTATAGTTATAGGCAAAAGAATATAGGAATATAGGTAGTTTTACCCGAACAAACAGACAAATCAGCTTGAAGCCTGCAGAGATCAGGCAGTTGCAAAGCAAGAGTCCTGTTAATAGGAAAAGTATTCAGTGAAGTGTCATTGAGCAAGAGGCATAGGCACTCCTGCTGTGTAACATAGAGTTGGTTCAGGTTGTCGCAGCACGGCTGTGCTGGGGCCTGGGCCGTTCCCTGCACAAAAGGTGCACATGCAGTCAAGGGTAGCAGTGGGGAGATGCAGTCGGATAGAGTTGGGTCCTGAGAGAGGACAACTGGAAGAAGGGAGATTAAGAATAGAGTAGAAACAGAGGTTATGGCAATGAGAGGAAAAGAGTGTAGTAGAGAAGTCATTGTTTGTGCGAATAAATTAGGGTTAGGGTTTTTCTGAAGGGACTTAATTGGTATGTTTTTAAGAAGAGAGTGCATGGTTTGGGTGTGAATTAGCACATGCATGGTGTGTGTTATTTCTACATGCACTTCTTGTTCTGTGCCTCTGTGTTATGGCACTTACCATTTTACCGATTTTCTGTAATTACAAACTGAAAATAATAAAAGAATTATCTTATTTGGCTAGCAGCTTAATATTTAGGCAATTTCACCAGTAACTTAATTAATTAAAATTTTAAACAGAATTAAAAGATTGATTATTGATCTGGAGATTAGAGAGCTTTGGAGAAATCAATTTAAAGAAATACTTTACAAGACTCGAATGATCACTGAAAAAGCAAATCTTTAACTACTCAGAATAATGGTTCAAATCTTCTTGTTTTTAATTAACGTGTATACATATACATATATGAGTCCCTTAAATAATCTATATATATGTGTATGTGTGTGTTCTGGTGTAAAAATTACTGACTCATTTTAGCTTGTCGAATATATATGAAAGGTTAATGGGACATTCATCATATTCATCTTATGTAGATAGTTAATCCCAATTTTCTTAAGACCATTCTTTGATTGATGAGAAAATTAAGCAATGCATAAATTTTAGGTTTACATTCTTGATTTATGTAATTGGAGCATTCAGAAATATCACAAGTAATAATAATTTGGTGTAAGATTCATGTTAAAAATGCTTTCTAACAAAACCCAACTCTTCAAATTCAAATCTAAGCACATTAAATCTCTATTCTTACACTATCTAATAACATATACGTACTGTTATTGACCCATATCCAACCATGAGAGGGATCTGAGAAATATAGATAATGCAGAGAAAATTTCTGAGATGATGATGAACATGTACAGATGCTTAATTCTCTGCCAATCTGATCTCAATGGATGATTTTAATAACCTTCGGAATTTTCAAAACGCAAATGTGTAACTATAACCACTTGACAAAATCTTAACCGGCTGGTTAGCAGACAGATTATTGATAACCATAGAGCAGTTAACAAGAATCACAACTTGTCTCAACAGAAAGTCTCCAAGAACAATTGAAACAGGGACCTTCAATTTCACAACCAACGGGATCTTTCCCGAGTTCCGGTTCTTCGATAGCGTCTGTTGCAGGTCTAAATCGAACTCACTTCTCCCCTTCAACAAAACATTTGCAATGCTAGTGTTCCTCCCTGGCTGAAAAAATGATGGTAGTTTTCCCGAACAAAGAGATTTGTCCAAGTACTCGACAACAACAGAACTGTCCTTGCCGTAATGGAATCCTATATGGGCATTAGGGTTCGCAGCCTTGATAGAAACCAAAAATTCTGCAGAAAAGCTACGATCTGAGCGAACCTCGAATGTGTTGACCTTCAAGTTTTCGAGCTCGTAGTTAGGTATCTGAGGACTATAAATGGCATAGACTATTAGGATGAGGAGGAAGGAGATGATGACTATGGTGAGTAGACAACAATATAGGCAACAAATACATCTCAAGCAAAGCTTAGATGATTTGCGAGAGTGATCATCGTTGTAACGTGGAATGTTGTGTCTGTGTCCCGGTGGAGGCCTAAGGTTTGGATACTGTTCTTTGTTGAGCATTTCATATCTTGGTGGCTGAGGGTAACTATATCCTGCTTCCATGAAAGATGATAACGTGGTAACTTTTTTTTTTTTTTTACAATCGATAGATCATACAGTAATAATATTAATGATAATGAAGATTATAATAACGGTGAAGAAGAAGAAGAAGAGTCTTCTTCCTCTTCCTCTCCTTCTGATTCTTCTTTTTCTCTCCGTCTATACTTGTTCTTGTCTTTGTGTTTTTATGTTGTTGTTGAATGAGAAGAAAAAAAAAAGAGGAGGAATATTTTTTTTGTTCTGGAATTTGTAATGATTTCTCCATTTCTTAAGGATTTTGTTATGCATTTGTGATTGTTTTCCTGTTTAGCAACCGAGTTTTGTGGTTAATTTTCAAACTTATTTCTACTCTTCCATCCTTTTTTTTTTTTTTCCTCTCTATTTTTAGACACCAGCAGTTTTTTTTATTCAATCTTTCTCATTGTCCAACTTATAAATAGACCACAATATTAGAAATTGTAAAAAAATTTTAATTACTATATACCCATTACATAAAATAATTCTCAAAATAATCATATATAAAGAAAAATAAATTATTTTGCCCACCATATATATATATATATATTTCACTATTTACTTGCATACAAAATACATATACATATATACATGAAAGAAAGATGGCTTTGTGGTAAGAGGAATAATTGTTTATAGCCAAGAAAAGGGATGCTCAATCCATCTTCTTCACTGCAGTTGAAATTTCCTGTAATTTCTCTCTGTCCAATCAAAATAAAAAATCTGATTCCACCATTGAAACCAAAAATTTCCCATCTTAAAGCCAGCTAGAATCCACCATACTTCACCTCAAAACATATACATATATATATATATATATACACACACACATATAAATTCTCTATACCTAATTTATTCTCAAAATTCCCATCACTATATTTCCCTTTTATTACCCACTCCTTTTTTTTTTTTAATTCTCACCACCAATTAACCCTTCTTAGATTCTGAAAACAACTCCAGTTTCTGAGGATCAACATGGATTGCAATGGGTGTCACCACAAAGTAAGAAAAGTCATTCTTGACATTCAAGCTGACTTTCTGATTATCTTATTTTTTACAATTAAATATACACTGCTATTTTCCCTTCCCCTCCTCCCCCTAAACTTTCATTTTTTGTTGTTATATTAGCAGATCACTTCTTTCTTTTCTCTTAAAACATTGGTGTTATAGCTAAGATTTATGATTTGGTCCTATCAAGATCAAGTAAATATTTTAAGTAAGCACATAAACTCTCCCTTTCTAGTTTAGTGCCAACATCAAACTGAGTATTTAGATAATTTTATAATTCTAACAATTACGAAAATGATCGTATCAATGAAGTTGGCGGCGGTGCTCTCTGTCAATAAAATTGATGGTGGAAGAACGAGAAAGATGGTAGAAAATTGTGGTGCTACATTTGTAAATAGAGAATAGATGTTGTTTTTCAAATTAAAAAAAGAATACGTGTTTGGTGTGAGATCACGTGGATGTCAGACGTTCACATATCTTAAAATTTATTTATACTATTAATTATGTGTTCTGATCTTTAATAGTATTATTAGATAATAATAATAACGAAAAAATAATTTGAACATTTTGAAAAAGTAAATATTGATTTACACAAAACAAAAAAATTGAGATGTACTTTGAATATCTTTTAAATTTGAATGTGAAAATGAGTATTCTAGCAAAGAAAAAAAGAAAGGCAAGAGTTAATATGTATCTGGAGATTTTCCCCCCAAGATGTGGCTATCAAAGTAAGGAAGAATTTTGGGGCAGACCAAACAGTACCTGCAATTTTCCACTTGTTACCTCATGAATCTCACATGCCAACTTGACTAATATTGCCATTCTACTTTTCTCATTCTAGCCATGAACACCATATATATACATATTCATTTTTGTAAGTCATAGAAAGATAATTGAGGGAGATGGGTTGTAAATTTGGAATTCATTAATTTTTTTTTTTTTGGGTTTATTTATAACTTTTATTAAAAATGGTAAAATCAAAATGTTAGTTTTATTATTATATATTAAATAATTTGTTAGAAAATAAATTGCATAATGTAAAAACAATAAAATAAAATTATAAATGAATATGTTACGGCAGCTTTCATTTGTTGCATTTGTAATACGAGAGCAAATTTATTAATTTTTTTAAAAATATTATTTTTTGTTGTTACCTTTTAACTAATTTTATCACTCTTATGATTATATAAAATTATTAAAAATAATAAAAAAAATGAATTAATATAAAAATTTATTTGAAATTATATCCCACAAATTATTTTATGTAATTTAATTCAATAAAATTAATCTTAAAAAATTATATAGTATGTTTTGATATGAATAGATACAGATATTTTCACAATATTTTAATTAACGAGATCAATAAATATCACATTACTACATATATACATGTATCTGGTTATTATAAATATATTAGACAATTAAAGGATAAATTGAATTACTTGATGTATAGATACCAAAAATTAGTCTTCAAATCTAGATATCAAATTATTCTGATTTGCCGGAATTTAGTCTTTTATTGGGAGATGTTTTATTTTTTAATGTGCATATATATATATATATATATATAGACTTAGTAGAAGTTGTGGTAATCACGATGTTTTTTTAACTGTAAATGAAAAATTAAGATACATTAAAACAAATATATAAAAAAAGACAAGACAATCGCTTTTGACTTGTAATTTTATGAACAATTCAACCGACATTTTCTAGTTATCACCCCCCCAACATCCCACTGAAATCTTTCCAATTAAAGTCAATTCTAATTGAGCCACGTGTTCACCTACTATTGGCTGTGTTTGTTGATCATCTCAATATAATAATATATTTCAGAAATATACATATATATATTTATAATTTTTAAACTATTATTATTAGTGAAAATTATATTTATTGAGTGTATGAATAATATTAATTAATTATTATACCTGTGTTTTTGTTATTAGTTTATGTAGTTTTATTATATATAAATTAAAATAATATTAATTATAATATGCATAACATAAAAAATATTTTGTATAATATATATTATTAATAATAAAAGAATAGCATCCACTACATAAATTAATTAAATTGGTGCATATAACTAATTAAAATTAATTATATATCATGAATATATTTATATTAATTATTAAATATATAATTGAAATACATATACTAGAAAGAATTAAATTAATGTTAAATAATTAATTCATATTTGTTAATGATGTGATTTGATATGGTAACACGTTCTTTTTTAAATTTTATATATACATATATATATTTAACTGAAAATTATTGTAACACCCACCTAAAACTTTTTTTTTAAATTTTTTATTAATAAATATAATTTTTTAATTATTTAATTTATTATATTATATTATATTATATTTTAATTTAATGAAAAAAATTGAGTAAATCAATAAAGAAT